ATAAATGTGTGGGTGCATGTATGTGTTTTGTATATCTACGTGTTTGTGTATGTTATAATTTGTGAAGCAGTGTCGTTAATGCGTGAAAGTGACTGTAAGAGCTAATATATATATATATATATATATATATATATATATATATATATGTTTAATAAATTATTAAGTATTTACATTCAATAGATTTTCGCAGCTGTCGTAATCGTGTTCATTTATATCCACGACAAAAGTAAATCTTTTTTTCTTTTTTCTAAAATTAAAATAGAATATTATAAAACATTCGTTTTTATTTTATATACCAACATATTACAAAAACAAACCTTTATTTGATGCTTTACAACAACGTATATTAACTAAAACATTTTACCACCTTAACCATTAAGTAACATGATTAAGTCACCAAACCATAAGTAAGTCACCTAAAAAGGCCTTCCCTATATATCCTCATAGGATGACTTTTGCCATAGTTGCCACGAGTTGCTCAGAAACACGTTTTGCACTACAAAACCTAATTGGAAACCTTTTCCTTTCGGAGGTCTGTGTTCAGCACTGAACTTATGATGGACTGGTATGTTAAAACATTATTGAATTCTTTTTTGTAAAAACAACATAAAACTCGGCACGAGGAAAGTTTTGATAATTAATTAGTATTTAAGTACATATTTTACATATTCCTACTTATTAGCGATATCACACTTTGTGCTAGTAGCGTTTTCACTTAGTGCCATCGAAATTCAAAGAGTTTATTGAATGTCCAGTAAAATCGTCGATGCGCCGTGGAATTCGGAATGATGATTCTGTTTTTACGCCGTTTCCGCCCGCAGTTTTTAGTCACAGAATGTATTTTCAAGAGAAATGAATTAATCATTTGAATTCTAAAAGAACATTTTTTTATGGTAACAAATAAGTTTTTTGTATGAATTTATGTGCTGTGAATGTAAATAAACCCAGATCGGGGGAAATGGAACAATATCTGGTAACCCAGGGAAAGTACCTCCCGCCTATTTCTATCTCAAAAGCATACGCGAATGCTTTATCTAGTCAATCTTCTATCTACGTTTGAATTAGATATAAAAGTGAATGGTGCGAAATAGCGAAAAGAAATTTTATGAATAGCATATTTTTGTGCAATTATTGCTTGCTGTTTCATATAAGCCCTCAAGTGTCATGACACCCGCAGCGGGTTGACAGCGCATGCATGCCCGTGCGTCAGCCGATCCCGTGTGCCCATTTCTCAATTAAACACGCCTTGTCTTTAATCTAAGTTGTTCAAAGATAAAAAGCTGGTTTGTTCTTTCAACAACATAAATTAATGACAATGCCGTAATGTTTTTTAAACGTTTTCGAATTTAACATTTTCGACTTTTATTAATTCTTCATTTATTTTAAAACAATGCACATGCTGGCTTACAGTATGCCCAAAACACCAGCATGCTAATTTACAAATTACACTTTTAAATAATAAGTAATTGATTAAGATACATGTCCAAGTAAAATTAAAAATAAAAAACACATGCCAAATAGATTAAAAAATACATGCCAAATAGATTACATGTCAAATAGAATAAGCAAAATATCATTGTCAAATTAACTAACCTAAGATTAATTTAATATATTACAATATGTCAAAATTGGTCGTCAAAAATAGAAGGGCTTTATTTCATAGTTGCCTAAAGGTATCAGCAAATAAGTCAGTCACGTAATCATGTGCGAGCATATCTCCTATAAGCCAAAAAAAAAAAAAGATTGTTTTAAATTGTTGTTATTTTACCGCGTAAAAGGAGGTAGATTTTAAAAAGTTTGTGGTGTGAAAAAAATGTATTGATGGGGTGTGATTTTTTAATCTCTTTTTTTATTTGTAAAAACGTTACCACCACACTAAGATTTTGTCCTGTATCGTGGAGGCAGGTTAAAAACACAAATTGCACAAGGACAAACATCCAGACCCGGAACAATTATTTGTAGACCATACAAATACTTGTTTCGTGCGGGATTCGAACCCGCAGGCCCCCAGCGCAGCAACTCATTGATAAGCCAGTGTGCCACGGAGCCGTCAATACTTTTGATCACAGTATAATAAACATACAGTAGGACGACGCCTTTGATCTCGTGGTAAATGCCGACAACGTCTAGACAGCGTTTGGAGGTTAGGGTTGTCACAAATTAACAACTTTTACTAATTTAATTATTTATTTTAGATCTACATCGTCATCAACAGTATGATTACTAATAAAAAAAATAAGTAACAATTTGTTCTTAGATTTTTCCTAAAAGTACTCAAAACGTTAATTGCACGCCTCACAACGTGAGGGAGTGCTCTAGTACTCATTCAGGGAGAGAACGCTGCAACAGTCTTCTAAAAGTGTGGTCATTCTCGTTTGTGCATCCTTGCTGTGGGTCCCAGTCGATAGATATTAGCACCGACGCAACCAATCAACTTCCTTACAAGTACCAACCAGTGTGCCTTTTTCTGTAATCTGTTCCTGATCACACAGGTTCAGCACACATACTCCTGAGATGTGGGTGGTTCTGACCAAGGTTCGAGCCACTTTCCATGGAAGGTCATTGTCTACCCTTTCCACGAGTACACAACGATGAGCTGGCCCAGGATTCCGAGGAAGACTAACCGGCACAATCGTTTCTGATCTCGGCGGCAGAACAATCTTCTTAAGGCTGTACACATTCCCTGGTAACGCCCCTTTCACGAAAAGTTCCTCTCGTCCACATTTCAAAACACCTTGCTTAACGTCGATCTCACAACAATTCTTCTAATCGATATGTGGCCATACCTCAACTTCACTACATAAAATCGTCCTTATACTCTTAGTTAGACATCAAATCCATTTTACTATTAACGTTACAATGACTACAGACATGGAATTATTAGTTTATTTTATAATTGATTATTTAGGCTTTCGAAAGTTCTTCCTACTAAATCAGGTCTTCCAATAACTTCCATCTATAATTTGCATCTGAAATTTTTAAATACAATACTTATTAATAAATTTTCATAATTATTACCCCCAGAAACCTTAAAATTGACATCTTTAGCTCGTCCTTCCCGCGTCTCACGCCTCACACCCCGCACGATTGCCCTGTCCAGACGTCTTCGTCGGACGACTGTATGGATTTATAGACTGTACTTTTGATATAATGTTGTATTGTTAAGCAAATAAAACAAATACCGTTTTATAAAATGTCTTAATTTCATGATCCTTACACTTTATGTAAAAGAAACCGGTAAAATTACGTCACGCAATTTTGAAATGAGATTGATAATATTATAAAAATAGAATTTAATATTTATAAAGAAGAATCAAGTACCTTAATTCATAACGAATCGATGCGTATACGTTTTATATATAGCTGGCATACAAAAGTAAAAAGATACCATTGTTTACATTAGCGCCTACCGGTATCGCGCGATCTCCAAAACGACCCTGACACTTGAAGCGTAAAAACATAAATCGGTCGGCCACATGAGGGGATAAGTTAGCTTTGTTGATTGACAAGTTCCCGACCCGATCGGATGGCACGTGCATTAAGTACCTACGCAGATTTCGCTTCAAGCATTCATTCAGCCTTCGTCAGAACCCACTGCCTGCGCGTCCCGCCCGCCAACGCGTCTAGCGGGCGCAGCGCTGCTTTGCCACGTGAGCGACGTGTCCCGCCGTGGTGTCATAGTTTGAAAATACTTGCATAGAAATTGGACCCGTTTTCCATTCACAAATACAATTGAGTTTCTTATTCCCATTAATATATGGATCATTTTCCTATGCGAGTAATTTCATGTGTAGTTTTCAAGTTCTTCGAGCAACTGACTTACAACACATACTTTCATAATTGCAAGTATTTTTTGGTCGTACCAGAGCGCCGTTGTTGTTGTTGTTTTTATTATTCGCTCGACAGAGCAGGCAAAGGAACTATGCCATACAGCCTTGTCTTTATGTATTATTATCCTTCATAGTTCACTGCTTCACAATATGTTGATGCGTCACATTGTGCAGCCCTTGGGAGATTTTGACGGCAACTTGAGCCAGCAGGCAGTTGGCAATGGTATCTCAAGGCGCCTAAGCAGACACTTTATCTTGAGAATCACATCACCATCAGAGCATTTGTTTCACCGTTTCCACTAATAGTTCACATGTGTAGACTCTTAATACACAAAATCGCACCACTTTTACATATCAAAGTCCACTTCAAACTATTATTTAAACAATAATACAGGAGAAGCAAACCGCCGCCGGTCAAGTTCCCGCCAAAACTCTTTTTATCGTAAATACATTTTCGTAATAACTGTCTTTTTGGCTCTTGGTTCTAGCCCTTCTGAGCCTGAAGTTACAATGTATAATTATCCTTCATAGTAAACTGCTTCACAATATGTTGATGCGTCACATTGTTCAGCCCTTGAGAGATTTTGACGGCAACTTGAGCCAGCAGACAGCTGACAGTTGGCGATGGTAACTCAAGGCGCCTAAGCAGACAGACACCTTATCTTGAGAATCACATCACCATCAGAGCACTTGTTTTACCGTTTCCACTAATAGTTCTCATGCACAGACATTTAATACACAAAATTGCATCACATTTATGTATCAAAATCCACTTCAAACCATTATTTAAACAATAATACCGGAGCAACAATCCGTCGCCGGTCAAGTTCCCGCCAAAACTCCTAGCGTAAATATTTCTCATCCGTAACCAAGAGCATAGATAAAGTCACAGAACACTAATACCCTTAGGGATAAAGTAAATTAATATTTAAAAGCTCTCATCTGTCACCTTATACCTTATCTGTCAGTCATAGATTATTGTATATACTGTCAGTCTCAGTCATCCTCAACTCTTTCAGCTTTTTTTCAATTCAAAAAAATTCAAGTCAAAGAAATCATTAGCAAGTACGAAATTTTAAGTCTTTGTATTTAAGTAGTTATTAATAAATCAGTTATTGCACGCTATTTTGACACAATAATTTAATTTTCGTTTAGCTCAAAAGCATAAAGATGAAAACTAGTGTACAATTTGGAATAATTGCAAACTCGAAGACGCGGGTCCGTTGCATTTTTTGTAAGGTATATATTCCTAAAGCAAATAAATGTATAGAACAGCATATAAACGGTTCGAAACACAAAGAAAACTTTGAATTGATGACAGAAAACGGCATATCTTTTAATACGGACATCTTGTATTGTAAACCTTGTAAATCATATTTGCCGGACAATCATTCTATATCGGAACATATAGAAGGCGCAGCCCATGCAAATTGGGTGGCTGCGATGGATGATCTAGTGGATGGTGAATTCATCCGTCTCAACGCTTATTTATCTTCCGATACAGAAAACGTTTTTTGCGAAGTGTGCAAAAAGAATATTCATTGCACTCTTCAAAACATAGAGGAACATGTCAACAGCCTAAATCATCGTTCCCACATTGTGGAGAAACTGAAACCAATTAATGGCATATTTAGAGTTAACAATGAAGACGAAGTATGGTGCAAAGTGTGTGATGAATACATTGATAGCCATGTTCTTAATATCCTGGAGCATATTGACGAGGATGACCATCACATGGAATGGTTTATGGAGATTGAAGACCTAATGGAAGGACAAGATATGTCTATTGTTAATTACCTAGCCAATGAGTTTGAGAAATTTGCCTACTGTAATAAATGTAAGGTTGAAATAATTTGTAATGCTCAGAGTATTGAACAGCATGTCAATAGCGAGTCACATTTGAACCAATTTAGTTAATTTGTAGGTTTGTTACATTTCACCATTTATTTATTTCCCATCTTAGTTAAGTGAATGTATTAAAGTGAATTTAGTGAAATAGATTTACAAATAAAATTAAAATATATTTATAAACTTATAAACTATAATAGCTTTATCACATATGTGTCACATTTAGTCATTTTCACAGTATTTGAGCACTGATTTACAGTTTTTTGGGGGTATACATAGGATTGTCATGTGCTGACGTCAGCTAGTCATGCTATTCATGCTATTATATAATATTCATATTTAGTCCCTAACTAAGTATTAATTATTCATGATAAATTGGAGTGTTGTACCATAATTAATTTAGTAGACTACTGATTATAAATATAAAGACTACAGCTATGTTATTTTGTATAATACTAGAAGCAAATAAGCCCCAACTATTAAGTGTCCTGTGCTCAAGATTTGTCTCCACTATGTTTACTATATTATAGAAGTCTATGGTTACATACATACATTCCATCCATCATTATAGTTGCCAATTTGTGTTCATTAACAATATCAATATTCTGTTGTTATTATTTGTGATTTTTATAACTTTTTGTTGTATCAGAATATGTAACTCATGTTTTAACAGTTTCAAGTTGAATGAATTGAATTAATTGTGTCAAAAAAGTGTTGTTTACTAATATAATCCTTTAGTATAGATTTCATGCCATAACTGATCACATTAATTATCAATGTATTTTAGATAGTAATTTTAGATGTCACTGAAAAATTGCAAATAAACTTAAAATAAATATTGCAAGATTGTAAGTTGTTCCAAAATTGTGAACATCCTTAAATTAATAATTTAAAATTAAAATTTTTGTACAGCCGACTTCAATATAAGTTATTAAGAATATCTCAATAACAATTGGCCTGACCTTGATCAAATTCACATGGGAAGTATCAGCTTTCAAATAAAAAAAATCATCGAAATGGTTCACCCAGTAAAAAGTTATGAGGTAACACATAAAAAAAAACATACAGTCAAATTGAGTACAGTCTCCTTTTTGGAAGTCAGCAGAAAAGAACCTGCATACAGACCTTGACAACAGTGCCACTAACCGGGTCCAAATGTGAATCTCAAATATCTAGGGACATTTAAACACACAAAAATTTCATCAAGATCTGTCCAGCCATTTTTGAGTTTTAGCAAGACTAACGAACATCCATGGATTTTTATATATTATAGATATTAAGTCATTAAACTTTACAGAACAAAATATAAACTGGTTTGTCAATGAAAACTTAATAATGGCGCCATAAGTGGGTCGTGGGAGGGGAGTAAAACGTGTGCATCTTTAAACCAATCTGGGTGCACCGTGCCATTTGTTTGTGATATACTATCTCACAATTTGATGGCAAGAGATGGAAATATTATAAACTATTGAATTTGTTTGCATTATATTGTAAGTAATTAACTATTTTCTGTGGTGTACAATATTGTGAGATTTATTATAAGATTTACAGAGTTTGCAATTATCCAGTGTCAATTATTCAAACTACTTTATTGTCAATTAATTGTACCTTTCTAAATGAATTAAAATAATTGACACAGTTCAAAGATCTGTTGAATGATTAGTTTTATTTTATTGTGCTTTTGCTTGAATTGCTTAATTTTATGTTGAACTATTTCTATTTTTGTAAATATATGTGTACCAAATATATTTTAATGTCTTCCATAATTTAAAAATATTATATACTCCATGAATTGATTTAAAACTGATTGTATGTTTTCAATAATAAAAATAATACTAGATTATAAGTAAATTGTTTACTGTTTAATCCAAATAGGTATCAATTTTTTTTTTTAATGTAATGTTGTATGTTAGTTTATACATACAATGCATAATAAACCAACATAGACCAATGGATCAGTAACCTAAAGTGGCAATGGGCTTTAAGGACCAACAACTGATGCGGAAGGAAAGTTCTCCAGTAACAGCTCCGTACTGGTAAGCAAAGCATAGTGTGGCCCCTCCACTAGATGGATTGATGACCAATAGGTGTTAAGTCTGCTTTTGTACATTTTTGTGCAACGAAGTTTAAATAAAGAAAATAAATGAATAAATGACCTAGTAATTGATCCAGCAAGTTTATGGATGTAGATGGCTCAGGACTGTGCTTCCTGAGATTTCATGGGATAGGCCTTTGTTCAACAGTGCACTTGTGAGAGGGTTGTAATGCTGATGATGATGTAATTTTAAAGCCTGAATCTTTTACTAGGTATCCATTGTTTAAAGTGGTTAAGTGATCATTGAGGATAGATATTATTTGATGTATTGTAATGCTTAACTGTGGATTGGTCCTGACACCGCGGGGCCGTCCTAATCTTTTATGGTCTACGACAGTACTACGTGTGCGTGTGCTTCTGAATATCAATTTTTTAATATTCTGTGTACTCGATAGTGGTATATATCAAACATATGGCTGATGTCTAGGTCTTGAAGCGTCTGAAAATGTCTGACAGCTCTACCAACTCTCTACCTACCAAGATTGTGCTAAACACAGATGCAATTCTGTTTTTTTAACGGGCATTGGAAAAAAAAACGCTTTAAAGAAAGAAAAAGTAGGGTTGTTATAAATTAATTTGCTTAATTCCGCGTAAAGAAAGAAAATGTATCCTGCTCAGTTTTAAGAGGACCTCCCACCCCTCAATTGCGCGCACTATATCCGTCGCCGTGAATCCCAGCATGGGGCCCTTAAAACTGGGCAGGACACATTTTCTTTCTTTACGCGGAATTAAGCAAATTAGTTTATAACAACCCTATTATAATGAATTTCCGCAAAGTAAGGCCTGATTCTATTAATTATAGAAAGAAAAAGAATAAATTAATGTCTTCATAATAGCTCCCTAAGTTTATGCTAAGGCACAGGGTATAGAAGTACTTCACTAGCTTTTATTCATGCGATGATTCATGCATTTTATAGTTTTTACTTCTTTGAAATCTGCTTTTCATTTTTATTAAAATTATATTTTTTAACAACTAGAATAACGTCTAAACTACTAGAATTACATTAAAAACTTCACCCCTTATTTTGTCAACTTTATGGGTGGTCTTTTTCAATTTTATTTCAGACCACCTTGAATCCGGGGGGTCCCTAAGAGGTTTATGGGTAAGGTATAGTAGGGTCCTAAATTAGGGCGTCAGAGTGGAAACGGTCCGTAGTGCGCTTACCACCGTGCAGTGTAATAATAACAATAAATCAATAATATTCTCGTATAACCTGTCGGAAATATCTGCGAACCTCGCTGGAATGCGCTTCCCCTCGCGCTTCCCCGCACCTCCGCCCGTTATCGTCTATCCAGTACCGTTGCCATCTCTCCATATTGCATGACGTCATCAAGCCAGGTTCGCAGATATTTCCGCCCGTTATCGTCTATCCAGTACCGTTGCCATCTCTCCATATTGCATGACGTCATCAAGCCAGGTTCGCAGATATTTCCGACAGGTTATATATATTACTCTACCTGGGACAAATAGTCCGACTAGGTAAGTCCAACTTCGATCGAGAGGTCAATCCACGGATTCAACTCGGCTGGGCAGCGTTCGGTAAACTACGACACATCTTCTCGTCAGACATGCCTCAAAACCTTAAAACGAAATTGTACAACCAGTGCGTGTTGCCAGTGATGACTTACGGATCTGAGACGTGGTCCTTCACTGCTGGCCGTATGAGGAAGCTCAAGGTCGCTCAGCCAGCTATGGAGAGGGCTATGCTCGTTGTTTCTCTGCGTGATAAACTTAGAAATGAGAATATCCGCAGTAGAACCAGAGTAACCGACATAGCCCAACGGATTAGTAAGCTGAAGTGGCAGTGGGCCGGCCATATAGCTCGAAGAACCGACAACCGATGGGGAAGAAAGGTTCTTGAGTGGCAGCCTCGTACCGGTAGACGAAGTGTAGGGCGACCCCCCACGAGATGGCGTGACGACCTGGTAAGACATGCAGGAAGTCGATGGATGCAGGTGGCTCAGGACCGTGCTTTGTGGCATTCCTTGGGGGAGGCCTATGTTCAACATTGGACTTATGATAGGCTGTAATGATGATGATGATATATTACTCTATTGGTGGCACTTCACATGGCTATTTGTATTTGCGTATTTGCTGTATTTGAAAAATAACTTTCATGTGTGGAGGTATATGCCAAATATAGCCAATAACAAATACGGCTTACCATTCCTACTATATATTTACTGTGCCCACAAACTATATAGAAACACACTGTGCCAATCGTCTGTCGGATTTTCAAGGCTATTCATAAATAATACTAATACTAAGGGCAGTTAGGGAAGAGCACTTATTCAATGCGTGACTACTGACTAGGGATGCAAACGATACATCGATTTTTTTGAATATCGATATATCGTTCATAAACATCGTTCTTCATATAAGCGATGTTTTAAAAACGATTTTTGGCTAGCCGTCAAAAAGTCAGAGCCACGAGCTTCCGAAATAATCAACTATTCGGAAGTATAAAATTCCGTATGTTAAAAATTGCGAACGATGATTATCACCAATTTTATGTCGCTGAAATTCGAAAAAAGAGTTGAAGAGCTTACAAATATTGAAAATGGATTGGAACTGTTTTCTTCATTTTTATTAGTAATTATATTGTTTGAGCTATAACTTGATCAATAGCTTAAGAACAATCTTATTAGGTAATAGTAACTTTGTAACACATGACATGACTAGCTAAGATCTATTTGCTTATTGTGGCAACTTCGGTACCCCGTGAGCCTTTATTCTTATAGGCTGGAGCTACAATAACCCAGGAGAGAAACCGCTTACTGGGCACCAGGTAACAATTTTGATATTGTTATTTTTAAATTCAATTCTATAGGAAATAAAACTTGTTTTCTGTTAAAAATTAATAAATATTAGTCATTGCCCCACTACATCATGCAAAACATGACGGTATATCGACATTTATCACGCGATATATATCGTTACTGTTTAAAAATATCGATATATTTTTTCACTTGA